GAACAAGAGTAAGTGGTTCTGTGCACCTGGGATAAGACAAAAAGCACGGAATGACAAACTCAGCATGATGCAATCAGATAATTTAAAAACATTTAAAGTAATATTTAGTATATCCTTAAGAGAAGATATTTTTAGTACAGTTCAGACAAAAACCTTTAAACAATGACCATGAAATCATCTTCCTCTTTATGTATATCTGCCTAGCTTGGGTTATGCATCTCCACTGACATTGAGTCAAGCTAGAACTACCAAATGAGAGCGCGATGGTTCACTATGCCTTCTTTACAGTAAATCCATTTTGTTGGGCTCTAGAAGCTCTGATTTGTTGTTGGGCAAACATGAAGGCAGCCTGCGGTGAAAGCGACAGACAGAATTTCACGCTCCGGTGCCCTGCTGGCTCTGGCTGGCTGGCCCAAGTTATATCTATTTTTTCCTGTCCTGGGGTGTTAGCGCAACTATAGAAGTATCCCTGAAAGTTTTGTGATTCAGCATCAACGACACCATTGGATTGGTTAGTAACTACATTTAAAGTAACTAATGCTAGAAAATGTGGATTAGGCCACAATTTTAGGCTATAAATCAGAGGAGAGCAGATGAAGAGTGGGCAGCAGAGCAAGGTGGCCCGGCTCAAATCCTGCCACTTGCTCGGAGCGGGAACAGACAGCTCACGCACCCCTCGCGCTGCAGTTTGCTCGCGGCGGAGTGGTGAGAGTAGCAGTACTTCTCTCGCGGGGTTGTTTTGAAGATTAAGTAGCGTAATTGACATAAAGTGCTTAGAACAGTGGGAGCACGTTGTCCTCGGTGGAGACTCTTGACAAAACCTGGTCCTTTTATGTCTGACTACAGATGATTGAAATGAATATGCCATACCCCCCCTTTATCTTTGACCTATACAGAAAGAAGACTCAGCATGTTCAATTGCAACCCCTCAACATCCTTTTAAGACCTTTTCTTTGTTGTTATTTTTGTAACAATTATTCCAGAAGTAAAATAAAAATAACAAGAGTTAATCAAAGAGATAGATATTGTTAGCGTAGAAAAAAAAATCATATTTGCAAACTCTCCAGAAGGATGCAAAGTGGTAATTAGTGACGAAAACACAAACACAAGGTGAATGTAGGTGGGTCATGCCTGTGAGTGTTGTACATGATCTGAAGCAGACTTTATAAAAGCTGCCCCTTCGTGGGAAAGGAGGGAGAAAATGGAGGGTGATTTGCAGGCAAGAGTGAAAATTTTAGAGCTGGCAAAGACTTTGATCAGGTCTGGCCACCACATTTTGTAGATGAATGTGAGACTCAAAGAGATTAAATTATATTACTCAAGATAATATAGGGAGGTAGTATCAGAAGCTAGACTTTCTCAAAACCAGCCCATTGATTCTAGGAAGACAGAGAAGTGACTTTAGAGTGAAATGGACCTGGGTTGAATCCTGGCTTTTGCACTTATAGCTAAGTGACCTCACTGAGCTTCAGCGTTCTTATGCATGAAATAGGGATAATCATAGGATCTACTTTATGGAGTCCTAAGGGTCCAAAAAGATAACATGGAAAAGAATTTGGTCTACTATCTGGATAGTTAGTGCTCAGTAAATGATAGTTATTGTTATTTCCAGCTTGGTCAATGAGTTTCTGTGTGACTATGAATGAGCCATTTCCTGTGATGCACTTTCCACGTATATAAAATGATTGAGTTCTCTGTGAAATGCATGGCTGTCTCAATCAGGTACATGGATGACATTTGCAGAATGTTAAATGGTACTTGGAAGAAAAAGAATGTAAAGTAATAATTAGATTAGTGTTAACATGACATTTTTATTTGGGGTGCAGATTTCACACAGATTACATTGGGGTGTCTGCACAGGACACAGAAACAATCAAGGTAAGGAAGACTGTCAGGAATAATTCTGGTGTTGTAACTGGTCCCAGATGAAGAAATAATGCACACAAAACTTTGAAGTATTTTGCAAATCATTTCCATTGTACTCATGAGCTCCCAATGAAACAAACATGCAGAGCAGTAGAATGCCTAATCTACTAGGGCTTGTCTTAGGAGGTAGTTTGAAGATAAATAAAATAAACTACACTTTACACAGTTGGTAGCTAAACAAATAGAATTTATTGCCCCAAAGGGGATGATGCCTAAGTTGAAGAAAGGCTTAGATAAATCCATGGGTAATGGATCTTTAAGGAGTTATCAAGGGAAAGTTTAAGAGTATTCAGGGTATTTGCCTAAATTTTGACATTGGTATCATTAAGACAAAAATTTGGCTTCTTAAATGGGATCGCACAGTAAATAATCTAGCCTGGGTGGGCCTTTATTTTGACTCAACATGAAATTTCTTATGTCTTAATGTAGTGCAAAAACAGATTTGTAGAACAGTGATATGTGGCGGTACTTGCTCCGCTTATTAAGTGGATTGCCTGTGGTTTCGAAAAGCTTCCTCCTCTTAATAGTATCCACTGGGCGGCAAGAACACAGCACACTACCTTAAGGGTCACTCTTGCGTAAGACATTAATGCATCAGTCCCTAATTTGGAAACCTGTGGTCACTCAGCAAGACAGAATTTGTCTCTCTCCCTCAGTGTAATGATTTTTATTTTGTAATCTCTCTTGGGGTAATTCCTTGCAGGCTTGGCATGTTGAGAATCAAATACTGCCTCTAACAATATGGTCGTGATTCTCTGCTTGGCTGATTTAGCTCAGCATTTAAGTAACCACTAATCTTCTGAAAGCACCAGGGTCTACTTAGAGAAATCCCTGTTGTCTGCAAGGATGGAAACAAAATCAGCATGGAGGAAGCATTAGTTACTAAACACAAATCAATCTTTTTATCCACCTCGCTGGATGCTTTGTCACCATCAGAGGCGTGGTTTCTGGGCAGTGAATCTTCATTTTGTAGGTGTAAGAGCAGCTCAGGTCTGACAAGCAGGGGAGATGAGTTGGGGAAGTGGAAGGAGTAAAGAGAGAGTTTATTGAAGTTGCTAAGTATAAATCAAACTACATTCTAATGGATGAATCTCACAAACATGGAGTAAAAGAAGCCAGACACATGATTTGTATGACTTGCATGACTTTATCATTTGTAGACTTTGCTGAATTTGTTACACTTCTGTAAAAGGTTATTAACAGCCCTAGCCAGTTTTGCTCAGTGGTTACAGCATTGGCCCATGGACTGAAGGGTCCCAGGTTCGATTCCGGCCAAGGGCACGTACCTCAGGTGCAGGCTCAATCCCCAGCCCCAGTTGGGGCCTGTGCTGGAGGCAATCAGTCGATGTGTCTCTCTCACATCTCTCTCTCTCCCTTCCACTCTCTCTAAAAAAACAATGGAAAAAATATCCTTGGGTGAGGGTTAGAAAAAAAGGTTATTAACAAAAACATCTTAATATAGTTTCCTTGATTTGAAAAAAAATTACTTTGACACTCTGGGTTTATTAGCATTAATTTGGATGATTTGTGCCTTGTTTTCCTTGATTTTCTGGGTTAAGATCTACAGGAGTTTGAATGTTCTAAAATAACTCATTTCACACTGCTGGTGCAAACTTGTCTACTACAATGAGAAATTGCCCTAAGTCAGCTTCTGACTTTAGAAAAATACTTGAATCTATAGAATGGAGCCAAACTCACAAACCCATTTATGTATGACTTCATGGAGATGAAAACAACATAACTTATTATTTGACCTTCTCTGTTGCCGAAACATCGGCTCATAGAAGAAGGGAAGCGCATGCACTAGGAGACAGTAGGCACTGGGTCTAAAGTCAGGAGCCCTAGACTCTTCCTGGCTTTGCAATACAAACGTAAAACATCACATCTCTCTCTCTTCTTTGTACCTCAGTTCTGTGCATAAAGTGAACAGAAAGCATATGGATGAGAGTATGTCTTGGAAAGAGTTTTGAGCTCTTGATGAAATGTGACATAACTATCATGATTTAAGACACATAGTAAAGATTGTCACTAATATAGATGATGCCAAAAAGTAGGATTGTCATTTGCCCATGGCAGAGGAGGCATTTGATATGCAGAAGAGAGGCATGAAGGAAAGAAACGAAACTGTGAGACTGAATTGTACGGTCAGAATTCTTTTAGCCAATAAATTCCACTGAGTTGAAAATACGTTCCAGAGGGAAGAAGTGGGAAGAATCATTCTGATAATAATAGTCAAACTGATAAATGACAATCTTAGTTGGCCATGAACACTTACAAATGCTACCTCTGACATCTGAGTTTTTTTCCTGATTTAGCAATTCCAATTGTTAAGTTATCCTAACGTATTGCTACAGGAACAACAAAATCCTAGTTTTTGCATTCTTTCAATTCTAATAATTATATGTCTTCTTCCATATAACCCAAGAGTTGCTTTTGAAATGTTATGTTCTGAGGATAGTCATTGAATTTCAGTCTTCTTTTCCTTGGGAGCCCAGAATATTTGTCTTTTAAATTGTTGCCAGGGATGCAACCTTGAACCTGGCTTCAGCTGTAGAGAAACTGTTATTGGTTTAGGGAGAAAATGGATTACTACTACTAGAGCAGAAGCTCTCAAAGGTCTATAGTGCCCCTAATTGTTCATATCACTGTCTATCAGTAACTCACTCGAAGTCAGATTTCAAGAAGACTTTTTGGAAGCAAAAGGGAGACTGAGAAGATGAGATCCACTGAACATGACTGCTAACTCTTCAGTTTCCTTCCGAGGGGCAAAAATCAGGGTGTCAGGTAGAACCAAAAAGAGCAGAAAACCTCAAACAGAATGAAGATCATTCCCCCAGACTGAAAGGAGAATTTCCTTTTAGAAAATTTCCATAGAATTTATAAGACCCACTTAGCCAATCATTTAGGAAGTCCTATGCCCAGATACAATAAAGTTCATCAGTATACTGGCTTAAACACAGGATATGACTTTACCAATCTGTTGGGCTAACTCAAATACATCAATAAAGAACATGGCCAAGCAATAACAATTGAGGGAGTTCAGGAAAATCTCTTTCCTCTGGTGAGCTCACCTTTTAGCTTTTGCTGAGATGGGCACCAAGCTTTTCTTTCCTGATCAAGCTTGCTGCATAGGGGATCTGTAAAATAAAAACAAGCAAAACTCTCCAGGTAAGCTGAATTTGGAGACAGATATAATGGAGACCTTTAATCATGTCTAATAATTTGAGTGCCAGTGGTTCCTCTCTGAGGAGAAAAGATCTCCATCTGCTCGGCAGGATGGAGCTTCTGGGGTATAACATCCCAAGTGCCTGTTTAAAAGCATGTCAAGGACAGACAGGTGATTACAATAGACTGTTGCTACAGCTAGTCTCTGAGGTTACTTAAAGAAGTTTTCAAAATTTTGCATTTAATAATATGGTATTCTTGCCTGCCCGGGCGTGGCTCAGTGGCTGAGCATCGACCTAGGATCTAGGAGCTCGAGGTTCGATTCCCAGTCAGGGCACAGGCCCGGGTTGTGGGCTCGATCCCCAGTGGGGGGCGCCAGGAGGCAGCCGATCAATGACTCTCTCATCATTGATGTTTCTATCTCTCTCTCCCTCTCCCTTTCTCTCTCTGAAGTCAACAAAGATACATTAAAAAAAGAAAAGAATAATGTGGTACTCTTATTTTTTATTTAGGTATGAAAACTAAGTTATGATGCTATCATGCATGTCCAACGTCACAAAACAAGAATATGACGATAAACTAGTTCGATGTAATCTTTCATTTAATTAAAGTGATGAAATATATATCATTATAAATCACAAGTAAGATTAACTAACTAAACACAAACTATTACTCTGGGTAATTTCCCAATAACTACTGAGAAGCATCAGAAATAATTGCACTGAATGGAAAATACGACGCTTGAGAATTCTACCTGGATAAACTTGAAAGTACTTGTCACTACTGGGGCACTGAATGAAAGCCTATCACATTTGATATGCTACTTTTCATTAGAAAATTCAAATGGTTGAAATTGGACGGCATATATTATTTAGATTTGCCTCTGCACTAACCCCAGGTAAGGTACTCTATCATTACGTTACTTTCATCATTATAAAGCTTAACACAGAATTCTAAAGATTGGAATCTATTTTACACTTAAAGAAATAACTATTCAGCCTTCTCGGATGTAACACGAAATACGGCTGTTATGTAAAAGCTATGAGGGGAAATAAAATTAGTGTCATTCAATTAGGTAATGTTTTTGAATACTGTTATATACATTCCCTTTAGTCCCAGAATATTTATGGTTTGCTTTCCTGATCTACCAGTCCATAAATAAGAACCTTTATTAATGGAAGGAGCTACAAATCTACAATGACACTAGTAGCTGCTAAGATTAGCTGGACCATTTTGTTGTAATAACTGGTCAGTTGAATCAAACAGTCTTTTCAATGGAAAACAAGTGGCAAGACTAAAATAACCATCTCACTATTTTTATACACAGCCACAACATGGATGTATCTGATAGGTGCATATCTGATAAAGGGCATGGATAGCAGCATTGAAATTAATGATTCATATAGTACCATAAAAAGTTCAGTGTCCTAATCTCATATTTTAGGGCCTGAGCTGAGATCAGCTAGATAACCATGACAAGAACAGTTACATGGGGACCTACTCTGGTTACCTCTTCTTTTCACTCTAGGTCATGCTACACCTGCTGTTAACGCAGACACACTGAATCTTGATTTTCCATTGTGGCGCAGGCTGCAGGACACCCAAGCACGCGGGTCACCTCTCTCTTTAGATGCACGAGAGAACAGAGACTCGAAAGGAATTCTGTTATTTGGGATAATAAGGAGAAATGATGCAAACCTTGGGGCACAAGGAATTACCGAATGTATCTGTGTCCCTCTCACATTTAGAAAGAGGCCTCAACATCAAGATGAGATTCCATTAAAGATTTAGTAAGTGTCAGTTCTGTGCCAGGCACTTCTTATGTAGATAAGTGAACATCACTCTGGGATATCTCATCAAAGTCAGTAGACTACTCATCCTAACCCAAAGGAAACTGTCTGAAGGATGTTACTTTCAGATTTAAGTCAGAATTCCTTCCTCCTTCCCTC